ACCCCTTTTTTTTTTCCTTATTAGTCATCTGAGAATACTTTTTCTTTATTTTAATATTTTGGATTGTCCTAGATAAGCAATTACTTCAGATTTTTTCTTAGGAAACCCTTTCCTCCATAATTGGTGTATTAAAATTGCCAAAACTTTTACAGGTTAGAGAAACTGTATACCCAGCAGTCAGAGTCACTGGAAGGTAGTTTGGGGAATCAGAAAGGCACATTGCTGCTGACAGTCTGTTCTTCTGACAGTCATATGTGAAAATTTCATTAATGATGTTCACTGTTCTATCTATGTTATATCTATGCTATTAAAGCATCTTTAACACTTTAAATATATAAGGAAAATTCCACTACATGCAACGTCCACTGACAGGGCAGATATTGCTTCAGTGCGACATATGATTATAAAAGATAACTACCGGTCTGTTCAGCTGATATTCAGATGTGAAATAAAGTCAAGTTGTTCTAAAACAGGGTCAAATTAATTTAGGGTCAAAGTGAACAACAGCTCACTCTCATATGCATTATGTTTTGTTTGATTATTTCCTCCTTTATGCATCTCATAAGTGAAGGGCAGATTTTTCAATTCTATGGCTTTCAGAGGACTAATGCTAAAATTTTGCTTTTCTCTATTTATCTCTACTTATTGTAGGCTTGCGGGGTTTGTTTTTTTTTAATTTGCGTTACTGAAATTGTTAAACTACACTACTATACTAAAAATACAAAAAATATGGGTAACACAGTGAGAAGTCTAAATCGAATCTGGCTGAACAGAATGTATATAAGAATTAATCCAACTTCATAATCAGTATGGAGGTACTTCTTCAGGAGAGATGCCAAACCTCTTGGAGAACAAAAAACACAGTGGATGTGCCCAGCTACAGAAGTTACAATTTAAGAAAAAAATATCATCTACTCTGTAGTACTTGAAGGTTTTGTGCAGGGCAGGAAAATGGGCAGGCAGGGACCTTAATACTCAGAATGAGTGACCGTTCCCTTCTGTGAGCAAAGAGCCAGGTTTGCTATTAAAAGTTTTGCTTTCTTAGTTATGTTAGTAAGAAATTATGTCAGTAAGAAATTTGAATTTAAAAACACGACACCTGTAGCTAAGGCAGCTGTTTAGGCTAAAGCTCAAGAAAAAAAAAAAAAGAGGTTTTTTTGCAGACAGAAGCTTTGGGAAGCCGTTATAAATTATCTGGCCAAATACATGTATGTGTATATATGTATATATATTAAATATATATACATATGTAAAAGGTCTCTCTTAGCCAGTGGAAAAATGTATCTTGAAGAAAAGAGGTTATGGACATACCCACGTACAGCAGCCATGCAGCAAGGCCCCTGTGCCTGGGATCCACAAGACAAGTACGCGTGCACAGTGACTACTTTCCGGGATTTCCAAAGTCCGGTCGTTTCTAACGCCAGCAAGGAAAGTTTCCAAATTTCCTTTCTCCTGTCCTCTCTCCCCTGAGCTCTGCAGGCATGAGCTGCGCTCCTTTCCCTCCCTCCCCATCTCTTCCCATTAGAAATGCCACTATCCCCATCTGCTGCCCCTGAACTCCCTGTGCTGGCAGGAACGCTCACGGGCAGAGCGAAGCAGCTGAAGTCATTCAGCATAATGTGCTACATTGACACTTCAAAGGCAATTACTAGCATTTTCCGCCAAGAAAAGAATTGTGCAAAAGGGATTAATGCTGCTGTGTTTCTTTTTTGATGCCTGTAACACAGATCAGGACACATCTCCTACACCATCAGGTCCAACTCCTTCTTGCTGCAGGCACCATGTAGTTTATTTGTTCAGTATGAGTATGCGTGCTTTTTACCAGCTAAGCTAACTGAGGGATTGCTTATGCCTTCCAGTACATCCCTGGAAACAAGATATGCTATCATAATACCTGAATTATGTGGAACTTTCTTTGTGTGTCTATCTCAAATGATGTTACAATTTCAGCCAGCAAACGTATGTTATTGCGGTCGGCAGGACTTTTCTCATTTTAAATTATGCATGCTTTACTGTGTTTATCGAACGAAACTGTAATGACACAACTCAAAAAGTGTGTGCTCTTATTGGAAAATACATTTTACAGGAACTGCTTCTTCTGATAATTACATATTTGGCGACAGAGGGTGAGGGGGTGAAGAAAAGCTATTTTCCCATCTGCAGCAAATCCTGACAGCCACTTAAAACCAACAGTAACGAGGGAGAGAAAAAAGGATATTTGTGAAGGCTTTAGATATTAGTTGCAGATAAGTATGCCACATGCGAGGCTTTCCTTGATTTATTTCGGTTTGCAGGGGAGGGAACTTTGCAGAGCTCACTGGAACTCCTGACAAAATACAGGTACCTCAGGACGTGTAGGTCTCATTGAATATTTTAAGCGAGAAATACTCAGTGAATGGTTTACTTCACAGCATTCACACCATTCAAACTCTGGACAGAGCCAGGAAATGAAGAAGTGAAAAACGGATTGAAGTTTACTGATCCAATAAATTGAAGAAAAGGGAAACATTCAGATCAGTCTGTACCGAGTCCAAGTAATTCACCTCGTCCTAAGTAGACTCCTCTTTGCTGTAGAGCCCCGAGTACGGGCTCAGGGAAGTTTGGAAAGGAAAAAAGTTAAATGATAACTGTTGTCAACTCCTGACAGAAGGAAGGAAAGCCTTGTAACAGCTCTGTCCCAGGAACCAGACAGAGAGCAAAGCTCTGCCTTCAGCTGTGCCCGTCACCCTACGGTATCGTGGCGATTTCGGGGTAAGCTGTTGCCTGATCTTACAAAAACCCATCTCCTCTTGCCCGTGGGGGAACGTGGGCGGCAGCCACCAGCGCTGCGATAAATGGAAACCGTCAGTCATGCGCAGGAGAAAGCTTGAGGCCTTTGAAAGGTCTTCGCTTTATAAAGTTGTGGCTCCTGCGTTCTGCCTCGCAATCCTATCTGCTGGCATGTGTAATCATAACCCTTCAGCTGAAGATCTACATTATAAAAGTCTATGCAAGCTACTGAATACATACGTTTATCTGTAAATGTCCCTATTTAGATATTCTGTTTCTACCTTTACATATACTGCCAATTTTCTGTAACACCTATAAGACATTAAAAAGTGTGCTTATGAAAAAAAAGCATGTGAATGTCCTTGATTTCCACGACCTGTTAGTCTCTCCTATCTGTGGTACTTGCTGCTTAATAAACAAAACATTTCTTCTAACACCCTGAATAATTCAGGGCAGCAAAAATCTCAGAACACTTTGTCACTAAAAATTGTTTTGAGGCTTTACTGCTGGTTGTTGGACACTGTGAAATGGGTACACAGGGACATCATACAGTAAGACTGTTCCCTAGACCAGTAATACTATTTGAAATGAGCAAAACAGAAGAAAATTTTTTTAGATTAAGAGGAAACTGATTGCAACTCTAGTAACTTGGTTCAAACATAGGCAGGAGCTGCTGTGATACCCCATCATGCACTGCTCCTGGAATGGTCTGTGGACTGAATGCAAGCACAGGCGCTTTGCCGTTGCCACTTGGACGTAATCATGGCTTCATGTCTCCACCATAATGCAGTTCTTATATTTTTATTGACTTTTGATGATTTTGCTTTAGATTGCTGAACTGGCTATATTGAAACCAGTTTTTGGAGTACCTACATATTTGGGTGTGGGATTTTTGCTGAGCGTTTTTTTTCTGATACCCAGTATGAAAAATGTGCCTTTGCATGTAAAGTGAGATTAAAAGCTTCACTTCTGCTTATTTTCATGCTTGGTATTTAGCAGCCTGAAAGAGGGTTGATTTGTCCTGGTTTTTCATTTTTTTCAGGCATTTGGAAGCAATCTACTAGACACAGCACGACCTAACAGCCAGCACATCGCGCACCTTCAACACCGGCCCGTTCATTAAGGAAAAGTGTCTGAACTCACTAAGCAACCGCTGGCTGGGGGCTGAGGGCGAAAAGAGGGCATGGCATCCTAACGTCAAGGAGGGTACCTGTCTGAAGGCAGGAAACATCTGCACGCTGCACCGGTCAGCTGCCTTTCGCCGTACAGTGGCACCAAAGCACCGTCAAGCCTGAAAGGGTGCCAGCTCCCTTCCTAAGGACCAAATCCTGTACTCCATCAAGATCTGACCCAAGGTCTCAGATGTGGAGGCGCAGCAGGGAGGGAAGGTGGGTTCTGAACATCAGGCTGCCCAAGAGGCAGAAGCCACAGCAGGAGCGTTAGCCGTGCTTTTGGTAACTGAGAAAAAGATCAGCCTGTTGGGCAATGACTGTCCTCCTCCTTCTGAAGGAGACAGCTTGTGTAGTCTCTGCCCCTCGGACTCTGAGCAAGAGCTAAAAACATGCTACGGGGTTGTGATTACAGCTCTGAAGGGCTAAATTCAGCTGTACCGGATCAGCGTAACTGGAAACATGTTCCACTTTGGATGTTATTCACATCAGCAAGTACCACAGAACAAATTGTTACTCCTCTGGTTCAGCTCAGTGCAAACAGAGCAGAACATTAGGAAACCCCTAACGATAATCAGAAAATAACAGGAGAATAAAAAACATTTCTCAAATTGATTGTACAAACAAGTTTTATTGTTAAAAGGAAAAAAAAAAACAAACAGGGTTCCCCGATTCAAATGTTGTTACATTTTGAGTATTGGCGAACTTCTGATTCTTGCACTTCAAAACTTCTTGTATTAGTTCAGCACAGTCTGAAGGACTCAACTTTTTCATAACTCAAGGCACAGCACCAAAATGCCGTCCTCAGCCTGACATCCAGTCAGGGTTATTTTGTGGATTAATCAGGATGCCTGATTCCCAGAAGTTTTGTGCACATTGGCTGAGCATCTGATTACAGCAGTGCTACAAATGGATAAGACTATCCATCATGTAGCTTTCCAGACAGTACACGGTGTATTCTACCTCAGGAAAATTAGCGTGCGGATTATTTTGCAGCTCGGATTCCGATTGCTTGCAGAAAAGGCCTCCATATTCTGGAATTATTTGAAATGTTTGTCGCATTCAGAAAGTGTCTTGTTTTACTATCATGGTGAAATTCAAGCATATGACTATATTATTCTCAGAATCATCAGAGAATCCTTCTAAAATAACATTATAATTGCCCTAAAACAAGCAAGAAAAAAAAAAATAAATTAGTGCATAGTGCTGCCTGCTCTTGTCCAAGTAGCTGCTTGGAATGGTTCTGGTGATTTCTTTTAGGACTGGAAAAGAAAGATCCCCATCAGGGACTGTTATCATGGGTATAGTTGGACATATGTGTACATAAAAAAATAGCGCTCAACTTTCTTCTCATGACCAGAGTACTAAAGAACAGCAGTAGGCTGTGGTCCAGCTTGCACTTGTCAGGGTCGTCTCTCAAACATCGATTCTCACAAGGTCCCGTGCTCCCGAGGGCACCTGCTCCCCCTTCCAGAGCCGTTCTCTTGAGCAACATTTCTGACTCCACAAATGGGAATTAACTGAGTTGATACACCAGGCTGCATTCTGCAGCAATGGGCTTTTTTTGTCCCCCCTATGAGGCAGTAACCTTGTTAGCCCTTATAACTTACATCCAGCAAGGATTCAGTCCTATCAACACTTCTATTTTCTGCTGACTTTCTGCCACCTCCTTGCCCCAATACCCTACGCAGATCGTAGGTAGTTGCAATAACAGCCTCTGTATTTTACAGGCAGTCCTAGGGAAATCCTCCAGGCTACATACCACACAGCTTCTGACCAGACTTGTAACAGAGTCTGTTGTATTGGACAGTCCATCTTTTTGTTTTCAGCTATAACCACGTACTGGATATTTAACCGCTACTCAGTCTCAGTGGTGTTTACCAAAATCATCAACTTATAGTGAACATATGATGTGAATACACCAAATATCTGCTTGATGAAAGCTAAAGCAACCTCGTACTATTATTGGTGGCAAAAAGTTTGTCCGGAGTTTGGACATGATAATTAGGATGACGCATGCTAGAGAGAGGAGAGTGGGAGGAAGGACCCATGTGAAAAGAGTGCTGTAGTCATTCTTCAGTCCCGGATCAAAGTGTAGCCAGCACTTCTCTTAGTGTGAGGGCTCAAGCTGCCTGCTTAAGTCACACTGTCAGGGCCCAGCTCACCTCCCTGCATGGAGCATCTGCTCCCTGACGAGTGGGATACTGCTTGTCTGAACCTGAGCCGTAAGCCCAGCTCTATGTCAGCCACGCTTTCTTGCAGCGCACACTGCTGTAAGCAATACCGGTCCTCACGTCAGCTCTCTACATTCCTTCCAGACCCACCGCTTTGCTCATCCACATCCAGCAATGTGATCCATAAAGCAGCATCACCCCAGGTTTAGCTGTTGTCTAGCTACCCATCTTCACACCCTCACACAGACAGACTTTTGTAGGCACCAGGAGAGAAGATAGCTTGGTGGCCCCTATTGAACCCAGTTCTTCCCCTACTTCTTTGACTCCTCTCGCCTTCCTCTTCTGGTATGGCAAACTGGGGATGAGCACCTGGGAGCTGAAGGACTAATCCAAAGACTGGGAGGCTTGCAAGAGTTTCTAGTTTACAGCAGAGGCTATGATTAGGGTTAGCTCCTGGTCTGGCAGAGTCCCACCGGGAAGTGTCAGGTCTGCTATAAGCACCTCATCGGTAGGAGGACTGCTTATGGCAGAGGACATTCCTGTCTACTACCAGCTCTGGGGCTAGAAGAGATGCTGGGCTGGATGGAGTTCAACATTGTTAGAGGCCCATGAGCTGTGAGTTAAGGGGAGGCTGGAGGTTTTGTACCAGTAGGAGCTCCTTAGTGACATTTGTGGGGACTAATAGGGATGGTAAGGGTCTTGGGAAGGCTCAGGCAGCTGATGAGGCAGGTGTTGGATGAGAGTGGGCTAACCTGAGGACTGGTGCTGCTCCTGGTTTAACTCTGGAGCATTGCTTTTACTTTTGGATACTGTTATCCCTCTTCAAATCTTTGAAAAGGCCTTCAGGGAGGAACAGGTCAACATGTGAAGAGAATGTAAAATAAAGAACGAAATGGGCAGAAAGAATATGGATGGATTTACTCAAACACGTAAAAGGAGACACAATGATTTACCAAACAAAATGGAATGACTAAGGTGACATTAACTGATATCTTTGGTCTTTTCTTTTTTAAAATAAAGGAGGAATAATAGAGGAATAATAACCTGAGGACATGTAGCATTTCAGAGATGCTACCATTCTGGAGTCATCATTTCAAGCATGGGAAAGTTTTCTGACTTTTCCTTTTGTTATTTCCTACAGTTTGGGTGAACAACTCTTTTCAGAAAATATATTCATGTAAGTACGTGATTTTACTATTTTTAGTTATTTATATAAAATGCTGAAAGGTACCTTTGGAAACTTTGTCCTTGCACCTTTAATGTCAAATGTTGTTGCAATTGTTTCTGTAAAACAGAGATAATTATAATATAAATGGTTACTTAATCATAAAGCCATCAATCAAACTTCCTAAATAACTTCAAAGCAATATGGCATATCTCTCAACAGCAGTGCCAATGCCATTTTCCAGTGACAAAGCCCTCACCTGTTTCTTCTCCCAGAGCTCTGCCTATTTGCCTAAGCCACATTAGAAAATAGAAATTAACCACAATGCTCCTGCAACATCTCTTACAGACCCATCCTACTGTGATATCTTCAGTAATTTAACTTGCAACAGTAGTTCAGCTGAATGATAACCGAAGAGAGATGATATTCTTTTTTAAAGAAAGGAAAACATGGATTGTGTATTTTGACCTCCTTACAGGTCTTTTTGGCCTTTATTCTGACATCCTGCCTGAATTCTCTGGATCTGAGCCTGTGTCATGTTAATGTTGGTTAGCCCCTACAACAGGATTGACTCTTCTCTAACAAAAAAAGCATTATACATGGGTGTAGACAATTTGTTTAAAAACCCATCCGACACTTATCTAAATAAACTGTGTTCTGAGTATTAGTAGTGCCTCTAGCTCCTCTCAAGTTTTCTGTACAGTCCACTCAAATGTAGTCTTTCCAAGTCATTTTAGAGATGTTAACAATAAAAGTGTCATAATGAGATGAAGGATATTAGTAATCCTAATTTATGGAGATGGCAACTGTGGTACAAGGATGTTAAAGCATAGAATTTGGAAAATCTCTATTTAGTGGGGTTCTGGCACTGGAGAACTGCCTGCTCTGAAGTCTGCTGCCTGCCAAGCGAGGTGAATCGGTCTAGATTGTGGAGAGAAAAATCTGTCTGCACAGGATAATCAATTAGTCTTTTAAGAAATCTGTTTAGTGCTGAAAAAGGGCCGGCAGGGTATGGCCCTGTTGTGGAGGCAACCTGCCAGGCAAGGGAAAGGTATTGTATATTTTCCACACTAACCTCCTTTCAGCGTTCCACACACCGCATATTCATCGTCGGCTCCGCTGCAGAGGACTTCTTTCCAGTGTAAAGCTTTGGCACCGTCATACCAGACTTTGAAGACGATCTTCAAAAAGGTGATGTCACTTCCTAAGTAAAACATTGCAGGTAAGAAAAAGGTAACTGGTGGGGAGGAAAAACACATACGCAGGCATGCTATTCAGACAAAAACTAGTCTTCTCTGAAATACAGTGTTTTTTAAAGACTCCTTCCAAAACAAAAAAAACCCATACCTTGAAAACTGTTACTTCCAGAAAAACAAAAAGCTGGTTTTCAACAAAAAACATCAGTTTTCAAAAATATTTGAGTGAACAATTTCAAAATCTGTTTTAATTTCTTCAGCAAGGATAAAGTTCACTCTCCTTCGCAGGTAACCCAAATAAATACCCAGATGAGGACTCTGTAGTTCTAAGCAGGTGCTGCAAACAAACTGTCCTGAATGCTGGTAGCCATCATATAGATATCTTTCTAGGGAAGCAAACTTACCCCAGCTCCAGAGTTTTTACTCAGAAGGTGAAGTTTATGATACAGCCATTTCATAAGTAATTCAGCTGGCCAGCTTAAAGCTGGGTTTAAAGACTGGTTTAAAGTTGGGTTTGCATACACAATGCAGTACCATTTCCAGCTTCTGGAACACACATATTCTTAGCAGAAGCCTTGCCATACTTGGATAGCCTGATGATATTCTCTGTCCTTAAAAAGACTTGGATCTTCTTCAGGCCAGAAGAGCTTGTGTGCTGCAAAAGCTTGTCAGCTTCTTCCAGACAAATGCACGTGCACCTAAACCATCTCAGATTTGCATGTACAGTGCCAGTTCGCATGCAGGGCTCTGGTAACTGCTCCAACAAGTAAAATTCAAGTACACTTATTTTCACAAATCATCATTTCTGCCCATTATTATCATTTATCTATTCAATTTTTAATCACAGAAACTGATCTCCTAAATAATTTGACATTTAGGATAAAGTGTCAACTTTTTGCTTGTATTCATTTTTTTGTATTTGTAGAATATAATTCTCTAGTCAAGAGGGACTCACTTGGGATCCAGGTAAGAGCAGCCTTCCAGACGGATTTGTTCATGATGCTGCAAGGTGTCAAATTAAACATGAAAGCATGAGCTGTAGAATCTACAGGATAAAAAAGTATTTCATATTGTTAGCGTGAATAGGCTTCTCCGGTAAAACAATAAAAATATACATATATACACACTTACAATAAACACATACGCATTTAAAAATGTATTAAATATAAGGTATATACCATAAAATTGTCTAATATAAATATCCATAGTAAACATTAAATATGCATTTTAAATGTTATTTCTGATTATTTATATGCTTAGAAGGCAAAAATAATACATTACTTTGAGATTGAGTAGTAAGAAAAGTCAATTTTTGGGTTGATGATGTTTTGCACACAAAACTCAGAAGCAAAAGTACCTTTATTTCTCTTTTGAAGTTACACAAACTTTTTATTAGCATTAAGCCAGTATGGTCCTCTGCTGAAAATATCCCTACTTATGCTAACTACAGAATCTATGTAAGCTTGCTGACAACAGCTAAATATGTTTCTAATGTACCAGCATATTTTCCAGGATAATGTAAAAGAGCCTTTGAGTAGACTTGCTTTGTACTCACCTAACATTGTAGAATGCACAGTGTCAGATGCAGTGTGATAAAGCATCATACAACCTGTATCTAATCAAATTTAGACCCCATTATCTGATACTTTAATTTTTAAAAAATCAGTCAGTGACAGCCTTTTGGAAGGTTTTCCAGTCAGTATTTTTATTTTCATTTTAGGAAATAGGTCTATTCAGTTCAGCCTGCTTCTGCCCTCCCTGGCGTGCCCAGGCTGAGGAAGCGCCCTGCCTGCCGTGGGGCTGGGGAAGGGGTGCTCCCCCCGCGAACCCAGCGGGGCGCCCGCGGGAGCAAACGGGGTGGCAGGGTGATTTACAGCGAGGGCTTCGGGCGTGTGTTTCAGGGATTAAAGCAAGGGGTGTGCAAAGGGAAACCATCCGGCTCTTGGTGACCAGCCGTCAGCTTCTCGTCTCGGATACAGCTACGCATGGGAAATTACGACAGGAGAAAGGGCAAACAAAACTCACCATGGTCTCAAAAGTTTGGGTTGCAATCTTAAGTACCACCGCTTTTACCCATGTTAAATCTTTAATGTGAGTATTAATGTAAAGCAAAGTACCCAAAATAAACATCCCCTCCTGTGCCTCAGTTTATATAGCTGTTTTACAGGTGATATACACTAGTAATGCACACAGATTTTCAAAAGACCCAGTCTTTTCCTTGTGAAATATCTCCTCAAAAGCCCACCTTCTTGCCGCTGAGTCTGCAGGGGCACACTGAGCCTGTTCAACATGGACATCAGGGAGGTGCCAAATCATTGCAGGATTGACCAAAAACCTCAGTGAACTATATAGATCCAGTGGCCTATGACACAGATACGGCAAGAAGGGACACACTATGTTGTCCCAGAGCCTAACTGGTCCTCCAGCCTGGCAGAATATCACATTCCCTCTTTTTTTCCATATACTTAAAGCTTTTCATTGTAATATATTGGTTAAATCAAAGTGGATAATTTATACAATACAGTACTTGCAAAACAAGTTTAAATCCCTTATCTTCTAATATTTCCTGAATCAAAACATGCCTGCTTTACTTGGCATAGACTTCTCTTTTAGCTGCTGCAACCGGCATTGTGGTAATATTTATGCCTATGCAGTATAATTCTTGTAACAGGGTAGTTAATAACAAAAATACACTCCAGCTGAACTTTATATTTTTCTGTATTCATCAAAGAAACACATTTGAAAGAAAGTTCACGTTTCCTCAGACTACAGCAATTATTGTGCAAACGCCAGTAAGAAAAGAATAAGCTGGTTTTTACTTACCACAAAAAGTATATGACATTTCTAGATCTGACGATGTACAAAGAAATTCACTGACTGCAGGGGTGAATAAAATGAAAAAAAGAAGTCCAAACATAGTTACTTATTTCGCTCAGTATTTGATGGAATAAAACTTTGTTTTGGGGAAAGAGGAAGAAAAATTCAGCACAGTCATCCTCAGTCACATGTCTTCAGGGAATATTCGGTTATTCTGTCAAATTCTCTGCAATCTTAATTAATCCTATGGCAGCCCTATCAGTTATCATCACAATAAATTTTGTGAAGAAAAAGAATTTCTGCCTTTGTTGTTACATTTTCCCCAGACAACGCAGCTCAAGCCACGAGTGAAAAATGAAAGAGAAAACTGTCTGAAACAGGGAAGCGAGGAGAAGTAAAATTATGATTACCAGAAGCACGTACAGGGCAAGTGTAGTTGACTCATCAGACGTAACATTTGTTAAGGCATGATTTCAAACACAGAGTTTCCTGTACGTAGTAAAGAAGAGAAAAATCCACAAATGACAAAAACCAGGTCCACTCTTTTATTGATATGGTAGTCAATAACTCTCACAAGTTTTCAGAATGAATTTCTTACGAAGTTCACTGTGCTTTAAGAACACGCTGGCACTCTGGGGGAGTGTAATCAGATGATGTATTTCCAAATGGAGGTCAGGGTGGGAGCCGAATGCAACCGGCTGACGTGTTATTGAGTAGAGCCACTGATGTCCTGCATCATCTCAGCTACCGGTAGCTGTATCTATCACAGTTGTACTTCTTAGTGAAAACAACCTTAAAAATCCATAAAATTACAACTGATGAGTCCCGTGTCCGCCTCCCGGCCTCCCTCTGCAACCTTATCCCGTGCTCTTCCCCCCAGCCTCTGCTGGAGAAGCTGCCCAAGAGCACCCAGCCCAGCCACTGGCTGTTGGGCCGTGCCGTGCACAGGCGCGGGGCCAGGCGGACACCCACCACGAGACAATTAGACAACAAAAACTGTCAAATTTTGACTGAGATGTTTCTATAAGAACACAGAATCTACCTGCCACAACGGAAGATAGGTTAGGAGACCGGTTTTAACCTAGGATGTTGAAAACAGTCCAGGTTGCAGATTTTGGTGCTTAAGTTTGAAACTCGGAAACAAAAACTCTTAAAGCACTTTTGGTGTTAGACACACCCCCTTTTTTCTGTCTGTTAGTGCAATACACAAAGAATAACTTATTTTGCCTGTATCTACTATATCAGTTTTGTGGACTAAACCGGGTCAGCTTTTGCTGCACAAACCCAGCAATATTGGTAATCCCAATTACAGAAACAGATGAAGAAAAGGTCTAATAACTCATTCAAGAGAGCACAATCACCATCTCACTGACAGGAAATGCAATTATATTTTTTTCTGAATATAATAAAATATGGAAACTTATTGAAGTTACGGAAGAATGACTTACAGAACTTAATCAGATTATTTTCCCATGAGTTACCTATTTGATTTGTATGTAGGTCTGCAGGCTCCTCCTAGATCAGAAATTGTATTTGTTATGGAAATGAAGCAGTATACACAATAGACAGGTATTTGGTTTTGTGTTAAGCAGGAAACTCAATAAAAATTACTTACAACAAATATAACTTAATCAATTGTTCTGACTCTCCCCACTCCACATCACAGTGTCTAAAAGCTTTTATTCTCACAAATTCTGTGCACACCAGGGTAACATTTTACATATTTTAAAAATAAAGTAGCAAGTGATTAAGAAATTGGTTTTCAGAAGTCCAAACATGTAACACAAAAGATAATTCAGGAACAGCGATATGCACAATAACTTGACTGATTGTGCCCGGAAAGGGAAGGAGTGAAAATTCTATTAAAACTACCTAAAAGTACCAACTAATGAGTTAATGCATGTAATAATTCACAAAATAAAATAAAAATTTGAAATTTTAATATGGCTAGAGAATTCTCTTCAGTATTTCCAAATCTTTCTACAGACCACAAGAAGAGTCCCACCAGCCTGACAGAGTTCAAGACTGAAAGAAACTTCTAACATTTGACTTTTAACTCGGAATTCAAAATTATACAACTTTCCTGACAGACTTCCAGAGTACGTACATCGTGCACAGATTTTTGCTGTTGTTTACTAGGATGCTATAAAACATACAAACCCTTTGCGATTATAGCAATAATACATTCTGTTTCAAAATGGCCAAATTTTGCTTAAAAATAGTGAAATATGTAGTGAAATTGAAATAAATCAGGAAGGCTGTAGTAGTTGAAACAAGAAATGGAGTAATGAAGCAGCCACTAAAGAATAGCTACCTTGTACATGTACCGTCACCATGTCCAAAGAAGGTTCCTCTCAACCACAAAGCCACTGATGTGGAGCGAGTCTAATCAGCAAGCGGCCAAGCCAGGCTTTCTGCTGAGTTTTCTGCCAGTCCAATGGATTTAGCAAAAGTCACAGGTCAGTTTGAAGCAGGCGTGAGATGGCACTGACTGTACCCTATTGACATAAACGATTACCCAGCTGAAAGCAGCCAGACGAACTTGCTTCGCTGCACAGTGCGTTGGGTGGCTGATGTACTCGTGGGCAGACTGGCAATATTTTATATAAAAGCTCTTTTAACATAAATGAAGACAAGCTCTCTGCTGAACTCTGTGACTTTCTAGACCTGGTTCAAGAATAGGTGTTTCTTCCAGATACTTGCTGCAGTAAATGATATAGATGAGGAATGAGTCCCCCCTGGTGGCTTAGACAGACAGACACATGCGGAAACCTCCGTATCCTCTCCTGTTCCTTATTGCGCTTTTATTGCACAAGTCAAGACTATTCCAATGCTTTAAAAAATCAGCGTAACTAGGCTCCATTTTAAAAGGATCTGGCTGGCTAATGGGAAAATAGGAACAGTAAGTGCTACTGGTATCAGGACTGAAATATCACTTATGACCACGATTATGAAGCCTACAACCTTGACCATTGTGTCTGGTCGAACTGTCCTCAAATCAAAATAACCTCAATCATTTTAAAATTTTTTCAGCAAATTCAGTTTTAGATGCTTGTGTCTTCCAATGCCCGTATCAATGCCATTCATAGAAGTCACCTCTTGTGATGTTCACTGAAGCCCCAAACTAGTGCACAAGAGGTATGAGGAGTCTGCTCCGTCCCTTTCAAGTTAGTATAAGGGCACTGGAGAGGAAGGACATAAATTTCTGTATGTTTTATTTTTACTAAATACTCCTTCTTTACTATAATGTTTTTCTTATATACTCTGATCCAGAAGGTGAAAGGGAGAGAAAGAGAAGTGGAAAGAGCTACGCAATAGTGTTACTTCACTAGAGTTTTGTGACAATTTACTTCATTTATTTTGAAATCCTTTGTAACTACATTTAGTAGGGACCAACTCTAATACCCAGTTAATAGTACATAAAATAAATCCAAGTCTAGAGAATTTAAGACTTCATACCTATGACTTTTCATTTTGTCTACATCTGAGATGCTGAGAGTAGAAGTTTAACTCCAAGCCTCCTCACCGATTTGTGGTTAAAATCCTTAAGCTAATTTATGATATTTTTATCTTGTTTCTCAATACATCTAAAAATTGCTTAACTTACTTGTGATTGCTTTCCAAAATAATCACTTTGTATTTGGATTGTTGGCTGCAGATGAGTACTTCGACCAGATAAGCACTCACAAGTCACTGAAATCTCCCTCAGGAAAGATTTATAATATACATTATCATAACATCCCACCACAGAAAAATAAATAATAGTGTACCAGTACAGCAGACGAAAAGTACTCTGTTTCAAAGCGTCAGTCAGACAGAATTTAAAATTATGTCCTAGTTCTTGGCATGTACCAAAACCTCACGTTAATGGAAAACTCTTATAAGATGTTAAACACATTTATTCAATAAAGAAAGAGGCACTAATAATTTGATTTTCCTTGCAGAATCACTTGTGACAGTTTTTGAAGTAGATCTTTTTGCAGCTGGAAGCAGACAAGTTTGTTACTTCTGATCCTGGGTTTAGGGTTGCTCCTGAAGATGCTCCAATATAGAGGGGCTATATATAAGGCATAGGGCATGCATTCGCAAAACAAAAACACACTTGGCAATCAACATAAAAAGTAGAAAATTGTAGAGTAGATCTCTCTTCTCAAATCCTCTCATCCTATCTTTGACAATGTTTATAGTGGAAGTAGAAGGTCAAGCCCAGGGATAGTAGAAAGAGGTAGAGGATTCAGCTCCTCTACACGCAGCTGATGAAGCACCTGAGGGTGCCGGGGGAGTCCGACCCAAGGGCTGTGCACCAGCACACATCCAGTGGTGAGCTGGTAGCATTTGAGTAAAAAAGCAAATAGTTGTGGAAAGAAAGGAAAAGCGATGTGCATTATTTTGAATATATTTTTTTAGATGCTGTATGCACTTTGGCTTAGTGGTTTGATTTGTAGATAACACATTAAACCATTGGAGGCTATTAAAGTGAAGCAAATACACACCAGGTGGTATCCTGTGGAAACAATTATGTTGGAAATAACTCTCTATCTGTCGCCAGTAGGCTTACAGTTTATTCTTTCCAAGCCAAGTTTAAGACTAAAGCTTACAGTTTCACTCCAAAGTATACATTAAACCATTAAAGTTGTCAAGAAGAAGAGAAAGCAGAGGGTGAAGGGAGAAGAAAGGGCTGTGTCCTACCTGAGGCTGACAGAAAGCACACCACAGTGACACTGCCCACCCTGGTATTCCAGAAATGGAGACAGCTGGACATGTTTTGCGGTCATTTGCTCTTGTTCTCTGTTCTTCCCTGCTTAAAATAGCAGCTCGCTGAGGTCTGTAGAGCTGTGGGATAATCTTATTATAGTGGGTCCAACTCCTAGCTAGCACACTCGTCCCATTTCTCAGGGAGGCCGCAGCAGGCTATGTTGTACATGGGGGCATGAAGAAATTCGTGGTATGACCACAGAACTCCAGGGCAACCGAATTGCAGCAGCTTACCAAGTTTCCACCTATTAAGTTAAACTGAGCAATTGTAATAATTCACATGTGTGCTCTTAATTTTTACAGCACAAACAGAATTTCATGAAGTTTCCATTACCTAAATTAGGC